TCCAGCAACAATGGACCCCTCCAGCAACAGTAGATCTCCCAACAACACAAGACCCCACCAGCAGCAATAGATCTCCCAACAGCCATCATCAATAGATGCTCCATCAACCAGCAAGGACAGACACCCTCTCAGTTTCCCTCCTATCAACAATTAATTCCCCCCACAGCAATAATAGACCTCCCTGGAGACAAAAGGTCTCTTTTCAGCGTTCCCCTGCTGAAAAGAAAACGCCCTGGTACTAATACATTTTTATCAGCAGTTCTATCAGGATAGTTGTACATAGAAAAGAAAAAAAAACAATATTAGCTATAGAAGAATTTAAATACAGTCAGGTCCATAAATATTGGGACATCGACACAATTCTAACATTTTTGGCTCTATACACCACCACAATGGATTTGAAATGAAACAAACAATATGTGCTTTAACTGCAGACTGTCAGCTTTAATTTGAGGGTATGTACATCCAAATCAGGTGAACGGTGTAGGAATTACAACAGTTTGCATATGTGCCTCCCACTTGTTAAGGGACCAAAAGTAATCGGACAGAATAATAATCCTAAATCAAACTTTCACTTTTTAATACTTGGTTGCAAATCCTTTGCAGTCAATTACAGCCTGAAGTCTGGAACGCATAGACATCACCAGACGCTGGGTTTCATCCCTGGTGATGCTCTGCCAGGCCTCTACTGCAACTGTCTTCAGTTCCTGCTTGTTCTTGGGGCATTTTCCCTTCAGTTTTGTCTTCAGCAAGTGAAATGCATGCTCAATCGGATTCAGGTCAGGTGATTGACTTGGCCACTGCATAACATTCCACTTCTTTCCCTTAAAAAACTCTTTGGTTGCTTTTGCAGTATGCTTTGGGTCATTGTCCATCTGTACTGTGAAGCTGCGTCCAATGAGTTCTGAAGCATTTGGCTGAATATGAGCAGATAATATTGCCCGAAACACTTCAGAATTCATCCTGCTGCTTTTGTCAGCAGTCACATCATCAATAAATACAAAAGAACCAGTTCCATTGGCAGCCATACATGCCCATGCCATGACACTACCACCACCATGCTTCACTGATGAGGTGGTATGCTTAGGATCATGAGCAGTTCCTTTCCTTCTTCATACTCTTCTCTTCCCATCACTCTGGTACAAGTTGATCTTGGTCTCATCTGTCCATAGGATGTTGTTCCAGAATTGTGAAGGCTTTTTTAGATGTCGTTTGGCAAACTCTAATCTGGCCTTCCTGTTTTTGAGGCTCACCAATGGTTTACATCTTGTGGTGAACCCTCTGTATTCACTCTGGTGAAGTCTTCTCTTGATTGTTGACTTTGACACACATACACCTACCTCCTGGGGAGTGTTCTTGATCTGGCCAACTGTTGTGAAGGGTGTTTTCTTCACCAGGGAAAGAATTCTTCGGTTATCCACCACAGTTGTTTTCCGTGGTCATCCAGGTCTTTTGGTGTTGCTGAGCTCACCGGTATGTTCCTTCTTTTTAAAAATGTTCCAAACGGTTGTTTTGGCCACACCTAATGTTTTTGCTATCTCTCTGATGGGCTTGTTTTGTTTTTTTTCAGCCTAATGATGGCTTGCTTCACTGATAGTGACAGCTCTTTGGATCTCATCTTGAGAGTTGACAGCAACAGAATCCAAATGCAAATAGCACACTTGAAATGAACTCTGGACCTTTTATCTGCTCATTGTAATTGGGATAATGAGGAAATAACACACACACCTGGCCATGGAACAGCTGAGAAGCCAATTGTCCCATTACTTTTGGTCCCTTAACAAGTGGGAGGCACATATGCAAACTGTTGTAATTCCTACAGCGTTCACCTGATTTGGATTTAAATACCCTCAAATTAAAGCTCACAGTCTGCAGTTAAAGCACATCTTGTTCGTCATTTCAAATCCATTGTGGTGGTGTATAGAGCCAAAAATGTTAGAATTGTGTCGATGTCCCAATATTTATGGACCTGACTGTAGTTATTTACAAGCTAATGTATGTATGTTACCTTGCTCTACCTGTGCTGTGTAATTTGTTTTGCTAATTATGTATCTGATGAGATGACAAAGTATGAAAACACCCTACTATGTCACAGAGGAAAGCTCTTGGTTATCTTATTCTCCACCCAGTTCATGGGGGGGGGGCAATTAAAGTTACAGCTTTCCTGGTTCATATTTTGGTGCAACTCTAGCCAAAAAGGTTTTATTTTAAAAAGGAAAGGGTTAGATAAGATCTACATGGTTAGGTGTATTGTAACACTGAGATACAGAATAGCAACAAAAAATTCAAAAGAAATGCATGTCTACCAAATTATGCACTGATTTGCATGTTCATGAGGGAACTAAGTATTTGATCCCCTTCACAAAACATGACTTAGTACTTGGTGGCAAATCCCTTGTTGGCAATCACAGAGGTCAGACGTTTCCTGTAGTTGACCACCAGGTTTGTACACATCTCCGGAGGGATTTTGGCCCACTCCTCTTGGCAGATCCTCTCCAAGTCCAAGTCTCCAAGGTTTGGTGGCTGATGTTTGGCAACTCGAACTTTCAGCACCCTCCACAGATTTTCAATCGGATTAAGGTCTGGAAACTGGCTAGGCCACTCCAGGACCTTAATGTGCTTCTTCTTGAGCCACTCCTTTGTTGCCTTTGTAAGGGTGTGGGGCATGGATAAATACTGATTTGCAAAGTTAAACTATAGTATGCCTGCAATATGCTCTTTGGTCAGTAGATGGCAGCAAAGTACAAGAATCGATTTTGCATTGAAGTTTACTAAGACAAAACTAATGCTTATTTACCTTATAAAGTTTAATTAATGCTAATTTAGGGGCTGAGTAGCACCCTCAGAAGGGTCATAGTGAACTGTAAATGCAGGTTTGAGGCTGCAATTAGGAAATTACTTACTGCATCACAAACTCTCTGGAAAGGGGAGGCGTTCTGGTTCAGAGCAGGAAGTGACAGGGAGTCTGTGTCTGGCTGGAGAATCTGTGTGGAGCCTGGAAGAGAATTTACGGCTCACAGTGGAGTCTGGTGACGGCACCTAGGGAAGATTCACCGCGACGAGACCAGAAAACAAGTGACTGTATGGTCCGGTTCTGGAGTGGACCAGTGGATCAGGAAAAAGCACCAAGAGCCTGGCAAGGAACTGTAAGTGCGGCTTTGCCGCAGCACATAGCACCACACGTGTTCAGTGACATTTTGTATATACCAGAAAGCTACAAGAGACACACTCCACTTTCCTTTGGATTACAAATAGTATTGCGCAATACTTAGGATGCACCCCAACATTATATCTTGCTCAGGAACATTCAGGCGCAGCCAGGCTGCTTTATGGACATTGAGGAAAAGTACGCAAGTACGGGGTTAGTGTTTGACAGTACTATTCTTACTGTATGGTTATGCACTCTTATCATTCTGTTTATGTATGCTCAACTACTTGTTCACTATAACTGTTCAGTAAACGTAATTGTTGTAAAAGAACCGCTGTCTGTGTGGCATCGTGTACCCTCTGAATCTGTGGGCCCAGCCCTCAGTTTTCCTTCACCTTGGCCGTGTGTTTTGGGTCATTGTCATATTGGAACACCCATCCATGACCCATTTTCAGTGCCCTGGCTGAGGGAAGTAGGTTCTCACCCAAGATTTGATGGTACATTGCCCCGTCCATCGTCCCTTTGATGCGGTGCAGTTGTCCTGTCCCATTAGCAGAAAAACACCCCCAGAGCAGAATGTTTCCACAACCATGTTTGACAGTTGGGATGGTGTTCTTGGGGTCATAGGCAGCATTCCTCCTCCTCCAAACACGGTGAGTTGAGTTTATGTCAAAGAGCTCGATTTTGGTCTCATCTGACCACAACACTTTCAACCAGTCCTCCTCTGCATCATTCAGATGTTCAGTGGGAAACTTCAGACGGACCTGGACATGTGCTTTCTTGAGCAGAGGGACCTTATAGGCACTGCAGGATTTCAATTCTTGTCGACGTAGTGTGTTACCAATTGTTTTCTTGGTGACTGTGGTCCCAGCTACCTGGAGATCATTGACAAGATCCTCACGTGTAGTTCTGGGATGATTCCTCACTGTTCTCATAATCATTGACACTCCACAAGATGAGATCTTGCATGGTGCACCAGTTGTTTCGTGTTTCTTCCATTTGCAAATGATTGCACCAACTGTTGTCACCTTCTCACCAAGCTGCTTGGCGATAGTTTGGTAGCCCAGTCCAGCCTTGTGTAGGTCTACAATCTTGTCCCTGGCATCCTTGGACAGCTCTTTGGTCTTTGCCATGGTGGAGAGTTTGGAATCTGATTGTTTGATTGCTCCTGTGGACAGGAGTCTTTTATACAGGTAACAAAATTAGATTAGCAGCACTCTCTTTAAAAGACTGCTTCTAATCTCGGCTTGTTACCTGTATGAAAGACACCTGGTAGCCAGAAATCCTGCTGAATGATGGGGATAAAATACTCATTTCCCTCATGAACATACAAATCAGTACATAATTTGTTAGACATGCATTTCTTTTGAATTTTTTGCTGGTATTCTGTCTCTCAGTGTTAAACTACACCTACCATTTTTGATTTTTAGACTGATCATTTCTTTGTGAGTGGGCAAACATTCAAAATCAACAGGGGATCAAATACTTATTTCCTTCACTGTACCAGCTGCACTTTCCTCATGCTATCACAGCGTGATAAAAAAGGAGAGCCGGTAAGGGCTTTGAGGCTTTGTTATGTAGTCAATATCACTTGCTTTATATTTGTGGAAAGACATCTATCTATATAATTATTGTGCATTATGTAGTCATTACGCCTATAGTAGAAAACTTTCCGTTTACAGAAAAACTAGAGCCAATTGACAAATTTCATTGTTATATTTGAACTCAGAATGTGAAATTCATTAAGAAATGGATCCTTTTGTTTCCAAAACTGGCAAAAAATAAAAATTTGTTGAACAGTGTAATCGGCAAGTGTATTTAAAAAATCAGAGGTAGGCCAGTGCAGCCCCAACAGTGTCCATCAGTGCTGCCAGTCAGTGTCCATTAGTGCTGCCAGTGTCCATTAGTGCTGCCAGTGTCCATCTATTCCACCAGTCAGTGTCCATCAGTGCCGCCAGTCAGTGTCCATCAGTGCCGCATATCAGTGCAGCCTCATCAGTGCCTCCTCGTCAGTGCCCATAAGTGCAGCCTGTCAGTGCCTATCAGTGCTGCCTCATCAATGCTCCGTCATCAGTACCCATCAGTGCAGCCTATCAGTGTCCATCAGTGCAGCCTCAACAGTGCACATCAGTGAAGGAGAAAGATCACCTGTTTGCAAAATTTTGTAACAGAAACTAAGAAAAAAAATGTTAGCAAAATTATTTATTTTTTTTGTCTAGCAAAAAATTAAAAACCCAGTGGTGATTAAGTACTACCAAAAGAAAGCTCTATATGTCTAAAAAAAATAATTTCATATGTGCATGACCGCGCAATACTCATTCAAAATGCAACAGCAATGAAAGCTAAAAATTGGTCTGGGCAGGAATGGGATGAAAGTGTCCGGTAGGCAAGTGGTTAAAGGATAAGTTCACCTTTTGGTAAAAAATAATAAATGCACTTTTTTTGCAGGTAAAAAATGTGCATTTATTATTTTTTTGCTGCAGGAGTCTGTAAAGCATTGCACCAGCGAACAGTGGATCGCTGGTGTCATGCAGGTCTCCTGCAGATTTGCCAGTATAGCTCCGTGGTAGTTCACTGAGAACTACAAGCCGACAGACGCTAAGGCTGTCAGGGTTTCTAGTTTCTCATTCACATAGGAGTGACACGACCGGCTGGGCAGATCCCTGCATGGCCATGTTTTTTTACATTTGACAGCTAGCGAGGGGGTTGGGGGAGAACATCCCCCACTAGCTGTCAACGCTGGGGATCAGCAGGCCGGTGCTTTCATAACATGTTACACCCTGAATACACTTACTTAGAAAACCTAAATGGTTTTTAAATATTGCACTTTGACTGATCCCCCTTCCTTTTAACATGCGGGTATGCTGATCGTTCTGCCCGAGCCGCAATGGAAATCGTACGGCGGTGTTGTTAGTGGGGTCATATTATTTACATCAAGGGCTGAAAGCTATTGGAATCCGAGTGCTGATCCATCCCCTAAAGCGCTATTTGTTTGTGAGTTCTCAACTTCCAGTAAGAGGCTTTTTTGCACTGGATGACACGCATAATGGTGTCAATTGGAAGCACAGGAATATTTTTGTTTATTTGAAACACAGACTGAGCACGGTTGTTATTACATTCGGTGGATGGACTTTTTTTTTACAATTAAGTAATATGGACTTTTCTATTATAGTAAATTATTGTCAGATTTATGTATTTTAATATAATTTATATTTTTTTGTATTTTGGTCTATACACTGTTGAATTTTATTATTCATGTACTGAACAGCACAACACATTTAGTTTTAACCAATTCAATACCGTGCAATTTTACACCTTCCTGCCCAGGCCATTTTTCACGTTTCAGCGCTCTCACACTTTGAATGACAATTGCGCAGTCATACAACATTGTACCCAAACTAAAATTTTATTTTCTTCACATAACTAGCGCTTTCTTTTGGTGGTATTTAATCATCGCTGGGGTTTTTATTTTTTGCTAAATTAACAAAAAAAAAAAAAACGAAAATTTTGAAAAAAAAAACACGTTTTTCTTTGTTTCTGTTATAAAAGTTTGCAAATAAATAATTGTTCTTCATAAATTTAGGCCGAGATGTATTCTGCTACATGTCTTTGGTGAAAATAACCCAAATTAGGATGTATTTTTTAGTTTGTAGGAAAGCTATAGAGTTCACAAACTATGGTATAGATCTGAATATTGATCAATCCTGAAGTACTGACAGCCAATCTAATTTCTTGAGGTCCAAGAATGTCAGAATAGTACAGATATCCCCCAAATGACCCCTTTTTGCAAAGTAGACAGTCCGACGTACTTCATAAGAGGCATGGCGAGTTTTTTGAAGTTGTATTTTTTTTTGTCATTTTTCGGAAAATGAAAAAATAAACAAAAATTATTTTAACTTTTTTTTTTTTTTTTTTTTACATACTGTCACCAGTGCAGTACAGCATCATCATATAACTGGCATGGCAGTGATCAGTGACACTGACTGGTGACCGTGTGAAAAAAAAAAAAATATTTTTTTTTATTTTAAATTTTTTATTAAATTTTTTTTTCTTTTTTGTAAGATTTTTTTTCATATTTTACTATGTCCAAAGTAGTACAATGTTAACATAGTAACATTGTACTACTTTGGGGGAGTGATCATTTTTTTTTTTTTTTTTTTTTTTTTTACACAATTTGCTTTTAGCAAAGAATTACTTTGCTATAAGCAAGCATTTACATGAATGACATTGATTCATTCAGGGTGTTTTTTTTTTTTTTTTGTGCTTGTGATTAGCTGTGACCATTCACAGCTAGACACTAGTATACAATGGATGGCATGAATGAAGCCATCCATTGTATACAACTGTCATGTGACCTGCTGTGATTGGTCACAGCAGGTCACATGGTACCGGCAACGGGGGCCGGTACTCAGATCAGTCATCGGCCCTGTCCGAGGTACACGGCCGGTGACAGATCGCGCCGCTGCGCGGCTCTGCAAGCGCGCGAACTGCGCATGTGCAGGAGGACGCCATATGGCGGCCTCCCGGAAAGCTAATACATTTTTGCGGACGCCATTTGGCCATAGGCCGGGCGTCAAATGGTTAAACCCTTACATATACCTAGTGAAGTGACTAGCTTCAGGTAACACAAAGATGAAACAAATCCTCCTACATACGTTGTACCTGTTTATCTGCATATCCTCTTCTCTACATCCGTTAAAGAGCTGCACTCTGAAGGTTGTTTACTTTAATGCAGAGAATACATAAGGCTGCTTTCACACTGATCTGTTTTCTTCCTCCTTTGCGTTAAAAAAAAAAGTGAAAGAAAAATGCGTGACCATTTATTCCTATGGAACACTTCACATTGATTTGTTTCAGGTCCGGCATGTTTTTTAAACTCCTGCTTGCTGCATTTTGGTGCAGGTTTGGTGCTGTAAAAAAAACACCGCAAAAATACACCTCCACATTGAAATCAATAGAAAACGCGGCAAAAACGCATAAAAAGCGCACTTGTGTTGCATTTTTGGTGCGTATTTAGTCATATGCCGTTTAAAAAAGCACCACAAACGTAAAAACACAGAAAAAATTCATATACGTTTTTGCTACAGATCAGTGTGCAAGTAGCCTAAAAGTAAAAAAAAACCCTTCAACCTTTAGGACCACTTTAAAGTGAAACCTAACTGAGTGACATTTAGTTTTCCAAAGCATTGTGCATCACAAACAACTGCCATTTATTTATTTTAATAAAATCATTTTTTTATCCTTTGTCACATATCAGTTCATGTGCAACACAGATCTCCCACAGCCTTTGCAGCTACGTCCTGAATACATGCATACACTGGTGATAGCTGCATGGCAGTTCTAGGGACAATACTTGTGCAGTAATATGTGTTAAATAGGAAATTCAGTCTTCTTTAGCTTTGACTTCTTAAACCTAAGATTAAGAAAACTGAGAGCAGGCAGATCTTTGCTATGTCTCTTCTGCAGTAATACGCACTTACTAACCTGCTTGCAGTCTTCTATTGAATGCACGCTGATCTGTGCGGAATGACGTCATTTACTGCTGGCCAATCAAGAGGCTGAAAAACTGGAACTTGGGTTAAGATGACAATGGTTGGTGAGGGGTGTAACCAGCACATTGCTGGAAGGTAGAGGTAAGAATAGCAGGAAGTTTAACTCGGCTTTAAGCTTGACTTGTAGACAACTGGGGGATTTAATAAAAAACTGTCTGCAACAAGCTATTGGTTGCCATACATGGCTCAAATTTTGATGGATTCATGCTGAAACAGCCTCCATTCAAGCTATAAGTGCCCCTGTTGGCACCACCAGGATTGACAAATGTTAAATGAACAATGCACTTTTGCGAAGGTGGAAAGATGTCAGCTAAACAATCTTGAATCTTGGTGTGCTTTGTGTATTTCTTCCAGTTCTGTGCAATAATCTAGTGTGTAACTTTGCCTCTCTGCAGGAGCTTCCTGTAACAAGGACCATTCACTGCTGCTTCATCTCCTTGTGCAGAGTGACTGGTCTTGTCTCCGCCCCTCCTGTAGTTTTTCTGCAGGGATCCTGTAGTGGGTGGAGACTGCTGGGTCCCTACCAAAGCTCTGCTCTCTGCACAGGATATGTACAGCACATTGATTATGTCACTGCTACTTTTACAAGATAACCACTTGATGACCGGTGACATACCCATACGTCGCTGGACTTCAAGTGGTTATACCAGGATGATACCCGCAGCTGCAGGCATCATTCTAGTACCGTTTTTTACAGCCAACAGTTGGCTCTCTTGTACAGGCCATCCGGGCAGCTAACTAGCTGCTGAATTGCTTGTACAAACAGTGGGAGTGGTATGTCCCCCCAGGTTATAGATTGGGGGGGTATGGTGGTATCAGACAACTACAAGATAAAGACTAGACATGATACCAAGTTGTAAGATAAACAGATGAGTCCATGTCTAGATTGAACAAAGAACAAAATAACTGTTCAGAATGATTTTTTTTTGCATGAACCTCTGGAAAAAGAGTGCATATTAAACTTTACATTGTATATGGTGTTATTATTATTTGACAGGAATATTTTAACCAAAAATGTCAATTGCATTATTATTAGTATTGCATGAAGTGAATACTTGCTTACTTAACCGCCTCCCGCCCGCCATATAGTAATATGACGGACGCAAGGCAGTTCTCTCGTTCTGGGAGGACGTCATATGACGTCCTCCCATTCTAACCGCGCATGTGCGGCTCCTGGAGCGCGGCAATATAACTGTCACGCTGACAGCTCGTGAGGAGAGGAGAGCTGGTAATTGGCATTCCTCGGAGGGGACATGTACACACATCATCAGAGCACTGATGATCAGTGTGCCCTGATGATCTGTGTAGCCCCAGCAGCGCCACCTGTCAACGTCCATCAGTGCCAGCACTCAGTGCTCATCCATGCCACCTGCCAGTGCCCATCAGTGCCACATCAATGCCACATATCAGTGCCCATCTGAGCTGCCTTTCAGTGTCATCCATCAGTGCCAGTCAGTGCCACCTATCAATGCCAGTCAGTGCCACCTATCAGTGCTGCCAATCAGTGCCACCTATCAGTGCCAGTCAGTGCCGCCTATCAGTGCGCATCAGTGCTGCCTATCAGTGCCACCTAACAGTGCCAGTCAGTGCCGCCTATCAGTGCCATATGAGTGCTGCCTTTCAGTGCCCATCAGTGATGCCTGTCAATGCCCATCAGTGCCACCTACCAGTGCCTCCTCATCAGTGTCCATCAGTACAGCCTATCAGTGCCCATCACTGCAGCCTCATTAGCGCACATCAGTGAAAGAGAAAAATCACTTATTTACAAAATTTTATAACAAAAACTAAGAAAACTTTTTTTTTCACAATTTTCAGTGGTTTTTGATTTGTTTAAGAAAAAATAAAAACCCAGAGGTGATTAAATACCACCAAAATAAACCTCTGTCACAAAAAAATTATAAAAATATGGGTACATATGGGTTGCATCACCGCGCAATTGTCATTCAAAGTGCAACAGCGCTGAAAGCTGGAAAATGGCCGGGGCAGGAAGGGGGTATAAGTGCCCTGTAGACCAGTGGTTAAGTAATTCAGGTTTTATATTTTAGTTATATCTATATAGATATCTATATCTATATATCTACAGTGAGGAACAGAAGTATTTGAACACCCTGCGATTTTGCAAGTTCTCCCACTTAGGAATCATGGAGGGGTCTGAATTTCACATTGTAGGTGCATTCCCACTCTGAGAGACAGAATTTAAAAAAAAAAATTCAGGAAATCACATTGTATGATTTTTAAAGAATTTATTTGTCTTGCACTGCTGAACATAAGTATTTGAACACCTAAGAAACAGCAAGAATTCTGACTCTCAAAGACCTGTTAATGTGCCTTTAAAAAGGCCACCTCTACTCCACTCATTAATCTAACTTAGTAGCACCTGTCTGAGCTCTTTAAAGACACCTGTCCACCCCACAGTCAGTCAGACGCCAACTACTACCATGGGCAAGACTAAAGAGCTGTCAAAAGACACCAGAGACAAAATTGTGGACCTCCACAAGGCTGGGAAGGGCTTTGGGGCAATTGCCAAGCAGCTTGGTGAAAATAGATCAACTGTTGGAGCAATTGTTAGAAAATGGAAGAGGCTAAAGACGACTGTCAGTCTCCCTCGGACTGGGGCTCCATGCAAGATCTCACCTCGTGGGGTATTACTGATGATAAGAAAGGTGAGGAATCATTCCAGAATTACAAGGGAGGAGCTGGTTAATGACATGAAGAGAGCTGGGACCACAGTTTCAAAGGTCACTGTCGGTAGAACACTACGCCGTCATGGTTTCAAATCATGCATTGTACGGAAGGTTCCCCTGCTCAAGTCATCACATGCCTAGGTCCGTCTGAAGTTTGCCAATGACCATCTGGATGATCCAGAGGAGGCATGGGAGAAAGTCACGTGGTCAGATGAGACCAAAGTAGAACTTTTTGGTCTAAACTTCACTCATCGTGTTTGGAGGAAAAAGAAGGATGAGTTGCATCCCAAGAACACCATCCCTTCTGTGAAGCATGGGGGTGGTAACATCATGCTTTGGGGTGCTTTTCTGCGAAGGGGACAGGACGACTGCACTGTATTAAGGGGAGGATGAATGGGGCCATTTATTTTGAGCAACAACCTCCGTCCCTCAGTCAGAGCATTGAAGATGGGTCCTGGCTGGGTCTTCCAACATGACAACGACCCGAAGCACACAGCCAGGATAACCAAGGAGTGGCTCCGAAAGAAGCATATCAAGGTTCTGGAGCGGCCTAGCCAGTCTCCAGACCTAGACCTAAATCCAATAGAACATCTTTGGAGGGAGCTGAAAATCCGTGTTGCTCAGCGACAGCCCCGAAACCTGACAGATCTAGAGGAGATCTGTGTGGAGGAGTGGGCCAAAATCCACATATATATATATATATATATATATATATATATACACACACATATATACACATATATACACACATATATACACACATACATATATATATATATATATATATATATATATTAGTGGCTAAATGGTTAGCACTTCCGCCTAGCAGTACTAGGGTCGTTGGTTCAAATCCCAACCACGGCACCACCTGCCTGGAGTTTGCATGTTCTCCCTGTGCTTGCGTGGGTTTCCTCTGGGTAATCCGGTTTCCTCCCACATTCCAAAGACATGCTGGTAGGTTAATTGGCTTCGCTCTAAAATTGTCCCTAGCATATGTATGTATGAATGTGAGTTAGGGAACTTAGATTGTACACCCTTTAGGGACTGATGTGTATGTACAATATATATGTAAAGCGCTGCGTAAATTGACGACACTATATAAGTACCTGAAATAATAATATGTGTGTATATAAAACAAGGTAAACAACTTAGTGTAACAATTTACTTGACCTCAGATAGATTCTAAGCTGATTGGATTGGCCTGTGTATGGTATTCCAACGTCAATTCATGCCAAGGTACTCGTTAGGCTTTGAATATCTGGTTGTAGAGCGACCACGTGGTCGATTTACATAGCTGTTGTCACATGTTGCTGAGTTACTGATAGTTTCTTACACTTCATTTCTAGACAGTTGGTTTTAACTCATTAATATTTAAAAGTAATTGCTGGTTTGAATTTCTAATCATTATTTTGGATTGGATCATTGTACTGCTATTTTGAATTGTTTATTATTTATCATCACCTATTATATTTCATTACCATTTTGCACTGATTTTTATTATTAATAATTATGTTTTTGCACATTATTGCTTTTTATTTCATCTTTAATTTAGCTCAAATAAAGAACTCAGATTATCAGTTGATTTGTGAAAATTAGTAGGGAATCTCCTTAATTCCAGATCCCCGCCTGTTTTCATAAATTGCATACTGATTATTTTCTCAGAGCTAAAGTTCTGCCAACCGGAACTGCTCTGTTCACCACTATGATATAGGGAACTGGAAGCGATGACCTTACATCACTTCTGGTTCTGGATATGAATGGTGTCATTTTAAAAATGAAAAGCATTTCATCACACTGATCTTGGTGTGATCAAATGCTTTTAAGGGCAAAAAAATTAAAGTGCCCCCATCCCCCCCGTGCTCGCACACATGCAAACATCGATCATCCCATACGTGTGACGTATCACTGTGAACGTCAGATCATGTCCAGTAATTCTACCACCAGACCTCCTCTGTAAATCTAAAGTGGTACCCTGCAAAGACTTTTAAAGCATCGCCTATGGATAGTAAATTTACATTGTTTGTCACCATTGCACAGGCGTGCACAATTTTAAAGCGTGACATATTTGATATCTATTTTCTCGGTGTAACATCGCCTTTTATATTTTACCAGAAAAATTTAGTTATGTATTGTGTTTTTTTTTGCATTAAAATTCAAAAATGTATTTTTAAAAAAAAATACACATTTGAAAAACCACCGTGCAAATACCGCGTGACAAAAAATTGCAATACCCAACAATGTATTCTCTAGGGCCTCTGCTTTTTAAAAATATATAATGTTTAGGGGTTCTAAGAAATGTTCTAGTAAAATAAACCTGTGTGTTGTTTACACACCTGTGTGTAGTTTACACACAGAGGTCTCTCCCGTTAGCTTTGCACAGCAGTCGTCGGGTGCCGGCAGGGGATCTCTGACCAAGATCCGGTGATTGACATGCCTAGCCGCCAATGGCAGTGTGGGTAGGGGAATGCGTGCGCCCGCACCCGGAAATGCAAATCACGAATATATACGTGATTTTGCACAGCCCTGCAGCAGTAGTTCTACTATAGGGCGGCGGGGAAACGGTTAATCTGTCAGGTCTGATAATTGTGCTCCACTGAAAGTAATGAGTGCACTAAGCTGCATCCCCACTTAGCAATTTTGAATAGAGGGCAGAATTGCCACAATTCTGCCTGTGATTCCTGCACCATACGTGTTTGGGTGCCATTAATTCTTAACGGAATCTCAAACGGTGCAATTTTGTGGTTATTGTCGGGCGACAAATCGCATTGTGTAAAGCTTGTCACTCAATAAGGAGGAGCTTCTTTTGGATGACAAGTTTGTGTGATGCAATCACGACAAAATCACAGAGTTTGAAGTTCCATTAAGAATGAATGGCACCCAAACACATTTTACGGTGCGTTTTACTGCGACTGTAGTGCAATTCCAAATGCAATGTGTGAATGCAGTCATCGAGTTTATAGAGCAGTTTTTATGTTGTATTGGAAACATTCGGATTAGTCCATGCATATTCAATATTTTTTCATATAATTACCATTCACCATCACTTGTGTATAGGCTGCAGATGTTGGCGCTACTAGAAGAAAGCAGACATACACAACTACACAAGAAAGTACACTGACATTCCTCCAACCACATGGTCATCCCATCTCATAACACTGAGCTTCCCGACACGTGCTGCAGCCCTGTGACAGTTCGGAGTGGTAAACTATGGGCGGCGACATTCCTCATATTTAACCAATCATATACAGCACATGTATATACACCCCCTATGGGCTCCGCCTCCACATTGCCGCCCGAAAAGAGAGGCGGGTCTGACAACAGCAACAACCCTCTCCTACAAAACGTGACTTCAATTGTGGTGTCTCGTGACGCCAAAGTGTGAGTAGAGTTGCGTAAGACAGAGCATCGGCAAATCAGAACACTAGATCTGCTTAATGCAAATTAAGATAGTTGGGGAGCCAATGAGCTGCTCTTAAGGTAATATTCTTATTCCAGGCAGCGTCTTTTTTTTAGCAGCTCCTTGCATATCTAATAGCCAGTGAGAGCCCTCCTCCACTCACGTCACAGACTGTGGTCGACAGCCAATTGGCCGAGCAAGCTAGTGCAGAAAAAACTTGTTTGCATAGAGGCATTGCGCTGGCCAGTCAGTATATAGAGCTCATGAGTAATTCAGTGAAGTTGAAGCTGTGGGCTGCAAAGCCTGGTTAGTTAGTGGGTGTTATCGGTCCTAGGATGTCTGCTCCTCAGCCTTCAGTCGAGGCCTCTACCTCTCCGGCCGGTCCCGGGTGTCTTCTCGGCCAGTCCTTTCCCCTTGTGCTGAAGAAACTCATAGAGAACCCTCCGAAGAACTTTCTGGATACAGGAGAAGTGG